AACTCCGCCGCGCTCACCGACCCATCCTCCCTCTTTCTCAGCGCCAACCCCACCTTCAACTCCTCCACTATTGCCAACTGATTAATATTCTGCTCCGCATATATTGTCCAACCCAACATCGGCACCCCCGCACGTAGCGACTCAAACATTGAGTTCCATCCACAAGTTGTGACGAAACCACCGACTGAGTCATGATTCAGTACCTCCACTTGCGGCGCCCACCCTTTCACCACAAACCCTCTTTCTTTTGTTCTCTCCATGAACCCATCCGGCAACAATAAATCCAAACTTGGCTCCACTGCAGCTGCGGCGGTAGTCTTTTCTGATTCATCCGTCGGCGGAGCGCGAACTACCCACAAGAATCTAACGCCGCTGTTCTCTAACCCGATAGCGATTTCTTTCAACTGTTTGGCAGAGAACCTCCCTATGCTACCGAAGGTTAAAAACACCACGCTTCGACTTGGTTGCGAATCAAGCCAAGTCAAGCACTCGTGTTTGGAAATGTTGGCTCCTCCACTTTCACTTACATCAGTAGGAACCAACGGCCCTACGCAGTATATAGGCGGAGCGGGATGATCGGGTGTGCATTCTCCATTCTGAATTGCTTTTAAAGCTTTTTGCTCCAGTGTTTCAATGGCGTTTACGATGATCCCTGTTGATTTAGTCATTTGGATTGCCGTTTCCAAGAAGTACTTGTAAATTTTTAGGGATCGATCAAGCATGGGAACCGGCATATTTTTGGCGGGAATAGGTGGTATGCCGGGAATATAAAGAATCTCGTCGAGTTCTTTAAAACTCTTAGTGAAGTTGTTATGGAGCGTAGGAAGGTAAAGAAAAGCGGCAAGCCCAGTAAGGCCACCAGTTATGAAATAGTAAGTGGGGATGCCGAGGCTGGTGGAGACTTCAAAAGAGTAATTGCAGAAGAAGTCCATGATTAAAGCTTTGAGATTGGATGACTGGGAGATGGACAAGAGTGCATCGTGGAAATGGTGGTTGATGAGAGTGTGGAACTCAAAAGATAATGTTTTGATGTCGAGAATAGAAGAAGATGTGTTAGGGATGGGGATGGTGGGTAGGTGATGGAAGGTGAAGGAAGGCGTTTCGGCAGAAACAGAGGCGATGTATGAGGCCGTGGAGCCGGTTTCGAAGGGTGCGTCGGTGATGATGATTGTGACGGAGAAAGAAGGATGGTGGGTTAGTATTAGTTTTGCGAGCTCTACTATGGAGACTAGGTGGCTTCTTCCCGGAGAGGGATACAAAACAATGGTATCCTTCATTTCTTCCTCCTCAAATTTCTTACAACATTCGATCGAGGGTGGTATCATTCCTTTATACTCTATTTATTTTTTTCCGAAACAAGACAACTGGAGAAAATAAGGAATGGGATGTTTGAAGTTTAAAGCTATAACTCATAAGAGATTATCTCACTAAAGTAAAGTACTTGCCCACTGGGCAAGGCGGGGGATCTCCTTTATAATTAATTCGGAAACCATTGTTTAAGCTACTGGTCTCTAATTTCATTGTACCAACCGCAATTAATTGAAATTAAGTTAATTTGAAGAGACAGTTGTGAGGATAGTTTGGTGGAGTTGGTACCTCTAAAAAATTCACTTCCATAAATGCAAGGAAGGGGTTGTTTGAAAACACCGTTCCGACTGTAAAACATTGGTAATTAACCACCTTAGTTATCAAGGAGGGTTTTTTTTTTTTTTTTTTTTTTT